GAGACCTTGTTGACATGGTTGGAATATCATTTGGGTCAGTGCAAGCGATTTTGAAAGATCATTTGGGCCTCAGAAGACTCAAATCACGTTTGGTGCCGAAATTTCTCAATTTCTTTGAAAAAGAGCGTCGCGTTAAAACGTGTGAAGCAATGCTTTCTGACTATCATGACGTCTACAAACAAATTATTACTGGCGATGAGACTTGGGTCTACGCATACAACCCTGAAACAACCGACCAATCGAGTGAATACTGTGAAAAAGGCGAGCCGAGACCGAAGCAACCACGTCAAAGTCGCTCAAAAATCAAGGTCATGTTGACTGTTTTCTTTGATTATTGTGGTGTCGTGCACTACGAATTCCTTCCAACTGGCCAAACTGTCAACAAGGAATATTATTTAAGCGTTATGCGACGTTTGCGTGAAACTATTCGCAAAAAGAGACCGGAATTATGGGCCAATAACTCTTGGATTTAGCACCACGATAATGCGCCTTCGCACACAGTACTGGTTCTTCGTGAGTTTTTCGCCAAAAACTCTACCCATGTTGCTCCACAACCACCGTATTCACCCGACTTAGCACCGTGTGACTTCTGGCTGTTCCCAAAGCACAAGAGACCACTCCAGGGAAATCGTTTTGAGTCCATTGAAGAGATCCAACGTGAATCGGCACGCACATTGAAGGCTATCCCTACCGAGGACTTTTTGGCATGCTTCGAAGACTGGAAAAAACGTTGGCAAAAGTGCATTGGGGCCGGGGGGGGATTATTTTGAGGAGGACGAAACAGATTTGGAAGAATAAATAAAGATTTTTCATTTTATAAAAAAATTCACCTTACTTTTTGATCACAGTACTTTTTGATTCACCTTACTTTTTGATCACAGTACTTTTTGATCACAGTATATATATATATATATATATATATATATATATATATATATATATATATATATATATATATATATATATATATATATATATATATATATATATATATATATATATATATATATATATATATATATATATATATATATATATATATATATATATATATATATATATATATATATATATATATATATATATATATATATATATATATATATATATATATATATATATATATATATGTATATATATATATATATATATATATATATATATATATATATATATATATACATATATATATATATATATGTATATATATATATATATATATATATATATATATATATATATATATATATATATATATATATATATATATATATATATATATATATATATATATATATATATATATATATATATATTTAAACAATTTAAAATGTATTCTAAAAAAGAGTGCCTAATGTTTTAAAAGAACAGAGCAACTACAAATTAGTAGAAAATCACTTAGCAAAGTTTTTTCTCATTTAACACTGTGTTTCATTTTTTAAAATTTCTTTTAAAAAATAAAAAATAAATTTAGTTTTGAGAGAAAATCGTATTTATTGATGTTTATAAAATAATAATTTACATACTCTCATACATGATGTCTACGTTTAAAAATATATATATATATATATATATATATATATATATATATATATATATATATATATATATATATATATATATATATATATATATATAATTGTATATAAAAATTATGTTAGTAATTTTATTTACAAGTAGAGTGGTTAATGGTCTTAAAGAGCATATTTGTTATATTTTATTACAGTATTTTTTTTGTAAGTGTGTGTTTGTGCATATATATATAAAGTTATTATTTTGATACTTTTATTGTTTATTTAAGTCTTTACTGATTTTGTTGGAATTATAAGTAAGTAAAGTTTACGATAATTATTATCGACTTTCTCCTAAGGAAGTGAAGAAACTAGCTCATCATTTCGGAAAAGCGAATCGCATTAAATGACTTATAGATGGAGTGCAAATGAAGCAGCTGAAGATAACTGGTTTAGTGTTAACCTGAAATGGCACAAATAACTAAGAAAAAGTTAAAAAATCTGAGGCAATAAATCGAGCACGTGTTTCCACTTTTAATCCAAAAAAATTTCAAAAGTTTTGATATAATTTACAAACTGTTCTTATTTGTTTAAAGTTGGAAAGTGGAAGTATTTGGAATATGAATGAAACTGGTATTACCACAGTTCAAACTTCAGATCATATTGTAGCAAGAAAAGGTCTTAACCAAATTGGATGTGTTACTTCGGCTGAGAGACCCTATTTAACAACTGTGGCAGTTGCTATTTCTGCCTTTGGAAATATAATTACTCATTTGTCATTTTTATTGTGTGAAATTCAAAAGCTATTTTTTGAATAATGCTCCTATAAAAGTGCAGGCGTTGCAAACCCATCTGGTTAGATAACCGAAGTTTATTTTTTGCTGCTTCCCATTATTTTGTCAAATTCGCCAGAAGTACGAAAGAACAACCCATTTTGTTACTATTGGATAATCATGACTCTCATCTTTCAGAAGAGGCTTTAGATTACTTTAAAGACAAGGGTATTGTCCTCAGACAGCCACAAATTTCAACTTTAAGATTTAAGTATATTAGGACTTTTTAAAAAATACGCAAACACAGCTTGCGATGCATGGATGACAATGCACCCTGGTTTCACAATGTCTATTTACGGTATACCAGGTATTGGGGGAAACTCATTTTTATTAGCATATATCTCTAATAATATAAAGACTGGTTTTTCAAAAGCAGGAACTTTCCCACTAAATGTTAACATTTTTAGTAAACAAGGTTTTAAGCGGGCCTATACTACAAATAGACCAACTCCAAAACAAGACTGTGCTTTGAAAAGTACAGCAAGATATATAAGTAATATAACTGATGTTGACTTTATAATATTAGAGAATGACATCTTAGAAACTGGTTGCTCAAAAGACACAGAACCACATCATGATATTTCATATTGAAGTAACAATGGTATACACAGTGCATCTATTGAGGCAACTGTAGTTCCCTCGCCTGAAGTTTTAAGACCATTCAAAAAAGCAGAACCAAAAAAAAGAGTTAGGGTTAATAAATGAAATAGAACCACATCAATTCTTACAGATTTAACAAACATGAATGTTTTAAAAATAGAAAAAGATTCAGCTAGAAAGAAAAAAATGAGCGATTGAAGAGAGAAAACAATAATCATAAAAGTTAAATAAAGATAATATTAAGATGAATAAAAAATCAACTACTAAAGGAAGTATACACTTAATGGAAAAAAGTTTGATTCGTCCAAATAGATCTATAGAAAAGGAGTGTTTTTGTTTGATTTGTGTTGAAATGTTTTCTAAAAGTAAACTAGAGATAGTCTGAGTTCAATGCACCCAATTTTACTTTAGGCTTACGAGTCATGCATAATTGGATACTCTTTGTTTTTCATTTGAAATGACTGCTGCTAGCCAATTTGAAACTCAATTAGTTAAAAATATTTATATAATAAAACTATATACGTTTTAATTCTTACTTTATAGTCATAAATTAGGAACACTTTTTTGTTTTACTTTTTTTCACCTCATTATATTTACTCTTTTGCTTAACATATTACAATGACTTGATTCAAAATTTTGTGATATTGATAAAAGTATATTTCAGCTATGATCTTTTTAAAAGAAACGGTGTGGGAGTTAAAGTATTATTAGAATACATTTAAATAGGACCTTAAACTATAGTTTTTATTGTTGTGAGTCAACTTACCACTTAAGTATAAGCAACTTCCCCCGTGGTAAGTTGGTACTATTTTTTTTTTTCTCAGTGCCCTGGAATGCACCAAGAATTTTTTTGTTTAATGAATCCAACTTAAGTCATCTAAATTCATTCTCTTTGAGACTATGTTTTATTATTTTAATAATATTGTGCCGTTAGGGCTACTGAACTCATAGAGTAAAAATTGAGTCAACTAGCTGCGATCTTCCCTACAAGGTTAGTATTGCATAAATAGAAATACTGTACGCAATTTGAATAAAGTGTAAGACTGGATAAATATGAATTGTAAATTAGCTTTTATAAAATTTTTTGTGGTTTTGGTAGTCAAAAAAAGTTGAAAATTTTCCAATAGCTAAATTACACAGGTCACATCTTTAGATAAAGTCTCCAGCACGAGATCTACTTCGTTAGACTATAAGAATCAAAAGCAAACCGCTCATTGATCCTAATTCGGGCGGGGAACAATGTCGTTATAACAAATACGTACAAATTGAAATTAAAATTTTCAAAATAAATATTTTTTTATTTAAAAGATATAATAAAAAATATTCCAGTTTACGAGTAAACTAAAACAATGTTTAATTGGTCATTCAAATAAAACTACAAGATTTAATTTGAATGTCAACTATTTTTAATAAAAAGCAAATAATCTAAATATTCAGGAAGAAACTTGCAAAACCTATTATTAAATTAGTGCTGTCTAATAATTTATAACTTTCAAAAAGCAAGAATACTAATGATGTTGTTCATCTAAACATTGAACTGAATCCATAAAAAACTTTTAGGTCTTTTGTATAATGAACACGTTAAAGTATATAAAACTTCGTAAATTCAGCAAAAAAGTGAATTTTTTTTAAAGAGGAATATTCCATGATTTCACTGAAACTAAAAACTTTCTCAACCTCTTACTATTTTCCATACATTTTACTATTAATTATTAATAATAATTAAAAAGTATAAAATTATTAATAAAACTTATTTTCGATTATTTTAGTTTGTTAAAGTTATGTTATGTTATTGTGTATTATTAAAAAATTTACTTAAAAATAAAATTCAATTGACAAGTGATATTAGCTTAAATGCTAAAAAATAAAACCATTTCCAACCAACCAAAAATAACTCGCACTTATTCAAAAGGTTTAAAACCGCAATTTTTTAATGCTCATTTATGCTTTCCACTATACTTAAACAAAAACAAAAAAATCAAAAAAAAAAAAAAATTAATGGAAAAAATCATTTTTCTTTCGTCCTTATGTCACTGCTACAATGCAACGAAATAAAACTGTCAAAATACGACAATAATAAACTAAGCTACTATTTGTACCCATCAATAATATTTACCCTTTAACTATCTAAAAAGTTTTTTTTTACTGTTAGATAAAAAAAAGCTCCTACAAGCAGCAATTGATAATGTAATAAAATCTTTAGCTACAAAGATGGGGAGTTGTAGGAATAAAAAGCAATGTTTAAATTGCATTTATTTTTTCAATATGCAAAATCCAACTTTTATTCTCGAATTCGAGAGAAGCCGTAGTAAAAGAACGCTGGCTTTAGTTCATGAGGCTCTGTGTATGATTTTTGTTCTTGTCATATTTGCAACACTAAGACAGCGGCGTGAATTCTTATTTAAATACTCATCCGCTGTAGGCTAAAAGTGTTCTTTGACAGTTAAGTCGCTAAGTTATCTTGCAGCACCATTTTAACCAAAAGGGAAAAAAAGGATATTTCTTTTTTCTAGTTTTCATGTAAAAAAAAAATTTCTTTTCCAGTTGAGTTGTTTTACTTACAATATAATTTTTACAATATCATTTTTTTTTAACTAAATTATATGCTTTTTTCTAGTTATTTCTGATTTTTTACTTTTTATAACTATCTCTTTTGTTGTAAATAAACTATTTTCTTTTTTCGCCTTTTTTATTTTATTACCATAATTGAATGCAAAATTCATAACCAAAAAAAACGATACTTTATTCTTGTTAATACTTGTTTAAAGTAAATAATGATACGAGTTTTGTTTATTTTGGATTTAAACTTGAGAATCCTGTTTTAAACAAACTGGGCACTTCTCTTTATGCATTGTGTAAAACAAAAATATCTGTTCCTTAATTATAAGCAATTCTTTGAGTAAATCATTATTATCAGCCAAAAATCTATCCACATTTAGTTTATCATCGCAAACGATTTTTACAGAAGTATCGGTATTTTTAACAGCGTCGGTTTTATTGTCAACTTTTTTGTGGTTTTGACGTTCATATATCTTGTAAATGAAATAAAACACGTCTTTAGAAACAAGAACGCTAATTAAAGTTAAAGTGACTATTGATGGCATTTTTACGTAACTTTCGTCCCAAAAGTCACCTATTTTTTGTTGGACATCAGAATCTATCTAAAAAGATAGTTTAAGAATTTGAAAAGAATTTTAATTATAAATGCTTTCATAATAAAATAAATTCTTAAAGTTGTAAAAATTCAATTGTTATAAAGTGGGTTTTATAACAATAATAATAATCTTAATAATAATAATAATAATAATAACAATAATAATAATAATAATAATAATAATAATAATAATAATAATAATAATAATAGCAATAATAATAATAGCAATAATAATAATAATAATAAATTATTAGCAACAAAATCAAGATAAGCAACAATTCCAACACCTTTTATAACAGCAGCAACAGCAACAACAGTAATAACAGGAACAACAATAACAACAACAACCGCAAAAACATCAACAACAGCTACAACACAACCAACACCACCACCAACAACAACAACATCCACAAAAACACCAACAACAGCAACAACAAAACAAACACCACAACCACCACCAAAAACAACAACAACAACAAAACACCAACAACAGCAACAACACCTTCTACACCAATAACAACAACACCACCAACAACAACAGTAACAGCAACAACAGCAAAAACATTAATAAAATTAGCAATAGCAAAAATAAAACCAGAAACACCAACAACAATAACAATATTAGTTTCACTATTTTATACTCTGACTAAAATTAACCGCACTTTTGATTTCCACGTAAATGTTTTCTTTTTAACGGTCACTTCAAGTTTTTTTCTATTTAAACTTTACAGTCACATAGATAATATAAAAATTAAATGCCTTACTGTTGGGATTTTTCCATATATTTCTTGGATATTTTTCAATATTTCTTTTATATTTAACTTTTTGAGGCAGTTCAAAACAACATCATTTTGTAACGAGGTAGATGGATATGAAATAGACATAAGATAAGTTTCAATACCAAACACTATTAATATGGGCGACGAAGTTTCTAATAATTGTACAAGAACAATATTAGAGTAATCTTTTTTATATTCCATATTTAACAAAACATCAATGTTGATAACTCCATAGTCAACTTTATTATCATTTACATCTCTGAATACATCGTTGTAGGAATGATATACTGTGTTTAAAATATATTAATTGCTATATAATAAGTACAGTCTGTACAAGAATTCCTACTTTTATTAAAAATAAAAACTAGTATTAAATACATACCCAGCTTAAACAAAACGTTCAACAAACCTTGCAAATGTTTAAGAACGCTCTGCGAACGTTTATAGAACGTGCTCAAACGTTTGCGACGGTCGTCGAACGCACTTGAACGTTTTGTGTTGACTGGGTAAGTCTAAATAGTTAACAGTAGGGTATCTTTAAAAAATAAATTTTCTCGGAAAAAACAAGCGTATATATTTTGCCGTTTAATGAAAATCAAACTTAGTTCTTTGCATACTTTTAGCTATAGTTTAAAAAATATGTAAATATATATATATTTTTATATATATATATATATATACATATATCTATATATATATATATATATATATATATATATATATGTATATATATACATATATCTATATATAAATATATATATATATATATATATATATATATATATATATATATATATATATATATATGTATATATATAAATATATATATATATATATATATACATATTATATATATATATATATATATATATATATATATATATATATATATATATATATATATATATATATATATATATATATATACATATATATATATATATATATATATAATATATATATATATATATATATATATATATATATATATATATATATATATATATATTTATATATATATATATATTTATATATATATATATATATATATATATATATATATATATATATATATATATATATATATATATATATATATATATATATATATATATATATATATATATATATATATATATATATATAAATATATATATTTACATATTTTTATACATATATATTACACATGGCTCTAATATAGAACCACTCTTATTTCTATTGCACATAAACAACTTATACTTAACAACAAACCTTTTGGACCTATTTTTATTTGCTGATTGTTCGAATATTTTTTGTTCTCACGGAGATATAAAAACACTTTTTAAAATAAGTAATGAACAGTTATGTAAGGTTATTAAATGGTTCTTAAGTAAAAAACTTTTACTAAGTGTGGATAAATCAAAATATATACTTTTCCATAAAGTAATCAAATCAGAAAACATTCCTCTAAAATCTTATAATTAATAAGACTTATATCAAGAGGGAAACATATGTAAACTTTTTAGAAGTAAAACTGGATGAAAATTTATTGTGGTATTCACATATAAATAGTTTTCTAAAAACTCTCTCAAAAAATATTGCAACGATGTTTAAGGCTAAACCTTTTCTAAATGTAACATCCCTGAAAAGATTGTATTTTGCCTTTATTCGCAGTTGTTTGTTTTACTGTATATATTCGCAGTTGTTTGTCTTACTGTATATTGTGTGGGCTAGTACTGCCTATAAAAAATTTATGGAAAGCAACAACAAACAAAAATTTGCGTGTAGAATAGTGTTTCGAGCCTACAGAAATACTCCTTGCGAACCACTTTTACATGTTTTTTTCGCGGCGCTTTAAATAAATAAACTTAATTCACATTTTAATTTATCCGACTTTAAATATTTTTTTAAAAATAAGGTCAACCAAATAAAAATTATACTGATGAAATTTAAGTGACGAGGTTAAAAACTCATTTTGCAATGTTATGTTTATCAACATGTTAATCATGTTCATCTTCATGTTACTTATGAAATTTGATATTATTATTTTTTTATTCAAAAATTTTTGTTTAAGTGATTCCAAAAGATTTTAGCGATTGTATGCATTTTAACACTTATTATAGTATAATTTAATAGGCATTTATAACAAGTAAAATAACAAATACCAAGGAAATAGGTTTAGCATTTTCCGTTCAGTGCTCAAAAGCTTTTTCCTAATCTCCTATTCTTTAAACTTTGATACTTTGATAATGAAACAAAAAAAATTACTCAACAAAATTTTTCTTTACCTAAAATTGTGCTTCTCAATTTGTTGTAAGCAAATACTTCCATTTTTTTTTTCTACAAACAACTTTAACATTTTTATAATATATACCTTTGCAACTCATAAACTGATTCAATTGATTGCAACTTTTTTGATTCAATCTTTAACCTTTCTAGTTTCAGCAGACTCAAAAATTTCTAATAAAAGAGATTTTTTATTTGTGTAATTTACACAAAACGCTTTCTAAAATGCGACACTGAGTTATTTTGTTTATATTATATTAATTAATGCTGTTGAGATAAAGCGCCAGGCAATATCTATGACAACCGATATAAATTAATTAATGAACAAGTAGTTCAGTCACTAAATAATAAAAACATTAATAATAAGCTTGCTTGGTTTTTATCTTGTTTGTTATTGCTTCTAAGTTGACCGATTGCAAGTTTAATTGGAAGCTTTTAACTGTAGTAGATTGAACAACTTCGGCTGATAGACTATTCCATCCATCGACAACTCTATTGCTGAAAAAATATTGCCTTTTCAATTCAGGTTTCATTCGATGTTTTGCTCCTCTAATGTTAGCTGCAGAACCTGATGAGCAAATAGAGTTCATTGTTTGATTTTGTTTAATATCAATGATTTTAATACCTTTAAATATTTTGAACTGCTGGATCGATTCGCACCTTAGCCTTCTAGTCTCCAAAGTAGTCAAACCCAAAATTTCCAATTTTTTTTTTGTACTCAAGATGTCTTAGCTCCGGTATCATTTTGGTAGCTCTTCGTTGGACTTTTTCTAGTTCATTGATATCTTTTATATAATACGGACTGCATGCTTGAATTGAAAACTCTAAATTTGGTCTAACATATGTACAATACAGTGTTTTTATTAGATCTTTATCCTTTTACTTGAATGTATTATTTAGTAGTGAAAGTATACTATTTGCTTTAATAGCTGCATATTTTATTTATTTGGCCCATTTTAAATCACTTGATATATAAACACCAATGTCTTTTTCTAGTTTTTACTTTTCAATTTCCACTAATGTATTGTTATTGTTCATAAAATATGAATATTCGTTATTTTTTGAACCAAAGTGCATAATTTTACATTTTTCAAAATTTAATCCTAATTTCCATTTTTGTTGACCATTCGTCAAGTTTATTTATATCATTTTGAAACAATTGTGAATCATTTTAAGAAGAAATAGGTGCAATTATCTTATTATCATCAGCATATAAACAACATTCATTAATAAAATTATCTGGTAAATCATTTATAAATACGAGGACCTAGAACAGACCCTTGTGGTACACCACTAAGTAAGAACTCAATCTGTCACACTTTTACCTAAAACCACTCTTTGTTTTCTGTTAGCTAAAAAAACAGACTGTCCACGTAGTAAGTTTACCAGAAATACCAGAAGTCAATAACTTGGATAATAACTTTTTATGTGAAACACTATCAAAAGCTTTTTTAAAATCTGTGTACAATACATCTACCGGTGTTCTATTGTGGAATAATAGGTTTGTTGTACAGCTCTTGCTTTTCATAAAACCATGTTGTTTTTTTGAAAGTAAATTATTTTTTATGAGATGTTGCATGATACAATCAGCTATTATTCTTTCTAACACTTTACATGGTATTGAAGTTAACGAGACTGGTCTGTAGCTAGATGTTTTTAATTTGCTTCCTTTTTTAAAAAGTGGCATTACATTTGCCTTCTTCCACATATCTGGTAGAGTACTTGTTTCCATCGATTTTTTAAAAGTTAAATATAATGGGTATGATATTGACTAGCTGCATTCTTTTAAAACATATGGATGAACAAAATCAAAACTGACTAATTTTGACTTATCAAGTGCTTAAAGTCTAGTTTGAACATCATTTTGTGTTATTAAAACTGTGTTTAATAATAAATTTAAAGGTATATTATGAAACTCAATAATACTTGTACAAATATCATTAACATACACAGAATGAAAATATTTATTTAGTTCAGTAGCTATAGCGAATTGATCATTTATGAATTCCCCATTATCAATTTCCAGAGCTCGAATTTGAGTGTTCACTGAGTTCTTCTCATTGATATATTTATAAAGAAATTTAGGATTTGATTTAAACTTGCTAGCTAAAGTACTTTCTAATTGTTTTATATTGTTCTTAATATCATTCTTTATTCTAATTTTTAGCTTATTATACTGAATTTTTGTTGATTCCTCATTCCAGCCATTACGTTTATTAGCAAGCTATATATTTTTTTTAGTTATTATTTTATGTTTCAATTCAGGAGTAATCCATTTGTTTCTGTTCCTTCTATTTTGATAATTGAATCTTGGGATAAACAGATTAGTTGCATAATTGTAATGATACAAAAAAAAATCATACATTTCATTTATAGATTTACTTTTAAATTCATTTTCCCAATCTACATTATTAAAATGGCAAGAAAATAGTTAATTATTTCCTTTTTGATATAATCTAATGGATTTCTTATGCTCGGTTGAGAACTTATAATCATTCATTAGATAACAACACTTTAACAAATGATGGCCCTGTTTGACATTCCTTAAAGGAGCTGATTGAGTTATAGAAACAATTTTGTTTTTATCGTTTTGATAATAAGGTCTAGAATATTAGATTGATTTTTAGTTTGCTATTTGGAATGTTGGCTCACATACACATTGAAACAGAAAACAATCTTCAAGACATTCAATAAACTTATTAGTTTGAGATTCATTATCATTTGCTGAAAAAAGACAATTATTATCAGACCAATCTATTGTATTATAGTTGAAGTTACCTGTAATAATAAGATGGCTGTATTCTTTTTAATAAATACTCATTTTAGCAGCATTAATAGATAGCAAAGTAAAGTTATTACACTCATGAGATATATATGGTGGTCTATAAATGCATCCAATTAGCATTTTGTTGTTTTTAAAATATATACAAGTCCATATTTGTTCTATAAAATTATTTTTTAACTGTAAATTATTTGTTTCAAACTCATTAATACATTGTTTTACATAAATACAAACACCTCCTCCATGCGTCTTTCAGTCACTTCTGAAAATATTATAACTACATCTGATTCTGCTTTAAACCAAGTTTCTGTAACACAAATAACATCCGGTTTGTATATTTCACATTGTAACCTTAACTCATCAATGTTATTATTTAGAGACGTTGCACTTGTATACCAAATCATCAGTTCATTGCATTTTTGAGTATCGTGCTCCTTGTTTATACTTAAATCATATTTCTTAAGCTCATGAAAGTTTACTGTTTCAATATCTAGCTGTCTCTAATTGCTCAGCAACTTGTTAAGATTTTGACCTCCACCACTAAACAGATTTATTTTATTGTTAGTTTTATAGTTAAAGCATCGAATGTGGTTTAAGTCTTTTTTGGCATTTAGTTGCTATTTTTTTATTTTTACAACTTTGTCATTTCTAATACCAAAGTAAAAGTTTGCCGTGTTAATATTGTCATTTTTTTGTTTTTTACTCTCTTCTCTTAATAGCTTTGATTTGTACCTATTATTTTTTTTTTTTTTAGGATGTTTGATTTGTCTTTGAATCTTAATAATTTTGTTTCAGTGGTTTAAGATTGGGCTTCTTTTTAAAAACCTATTCGATTCGCCCTTTTAATTTGAACACGTTTAACTCCTAATTTTACGCATAACAAATTTTGAACTTTTTCTTTAGTTTCATTCTAGGTTTCATTTGCACTTTAACGAATTCCAACTATCCTTAAACTATTTCTCCTCAAACTGTCTTCAGAGTTTCTGCATTTTTGAATTATCAATAATATTCAGGGTTTCTATTTCTTTAGCAGCTTTCACCTTTTGGTCTATTAAAATGTTTATAAAAATTTAAAGTTTCTTTTAAATCCTTTATATAATAAATACTTTTTCTTGTTCTTAAAATGATAATTGTATTTCTTTCTTGTTTAGGATAAACATTTTTTTTTATTCTAATAAAGTTATAACCAACATAAACTTTTTTTCTTTATGTTTAAATTACGTCCGTTCAACGAAGCTATTGCCCAGTGGACACCCGACCTAAAAAAGACGTCTTTTAAACGTTTAAAAGACGTCCAAACCCTTCAAAAGACGTTTGAGAGACGTTTAAAACGTGTATAAGACGTTTATTAGACGTTTTTTGAAAGTTTATTAGGTGTTTATCTAAATAGCTTATTTAAACAAGCTATTAAAATAACTTACTTATAAAGTGTTGATTTGCTTTAATTTTTCTATAATAATATATAGAAGAAGTAATATATTTAAATAGCATGAACAAATTTTTTTTTGTTTTTTGGGTCAGAGGGGGGGAGGGGGGGAGCTGGACAGACCTACCCCAAAAAAGTTGTTTTTTTTGTTTTTTTTTGTTATTTATTCAAACTCATTTAATTGAAACTTTTAAAGAAAGAGAGGGAGAGAAGGATCAATAACTCTGCTGCCCTCCTTCTTTCCCCTTTTGCTACAGGCCTAAATAGTATTACAAATTCAGTTTTCATATAAATAAAAAAAATTTTGATACCTTTATTAGCAGTTATGTTAAAATTTTTTTGAGCCAATATAAATTCTATTGAATTATTCAATGCTGCAATCTGTAATAAATAAATAAATAAATAAATATATATATATATATATATATATATATATATATATATATATATATATATATATATATATATATATATATATATATATATATATATATATATATATATATATATATATATATATATATATATATATATAAATATATATATATATATATATATATATATATATATATATATATATATATATATATATATATGTATATATATATATGTATATGTATATATATATATATATATATATATATATATATATATATATATATATATATATATATATATATATATATATATATATATATATATATGTATATATATATATATATATATATATATATATATATATATATATATATATATATATATATATATATTTATATTTCTATATATATATGTATATATATATATATATATATATATATATATATATATATATATATATATATATATATATATATATATATATATATATATATATATATATATATATAATATGTATATATATATTAGACTGCTTCATTTTGAGGTCATGAAAAAATTTTAAGTACCATGGAGTGTTATCTGCTGCGTTGACCCTTATTTTATTAGTAGAATTTTTTTTTTTTTTAATTTTGACCACTTTTAGGGGTTGCTCAAATGCCTCAAAAGTCATATTTTAGGCTTTTTTACCCTTTTTTAAGCCCATTTTTCGCACGTTTGAGCAAGTACTAAAACTCAAAAAAATTGAATTTTTTTTTTTTCTAGAGTTTTTTCTAAGTTAGAATAAAAAAATTAAAATGCATGGTAATTTTATTTTATTGAAATAATTTGTGTAAATTTATCTACAAAAACGCAAAGTTATGCAATTGTTGCGCTTCGCGTTAATTTAAAAATGTTGCGTATTTGCTTAAACATGTTGTGCAAATTACTTAACAAAAACGATATTTAATTTTGATTTAAAAACGCGGGAAATAAATATAGATTACTCTTATGATATACTTACTCCATATACTAAATAAAGCTATTTACTACCGATTTAATCATGTCAGGGAAAAGTAAGAAAAAAGTTGACACACATTTTTTGGTAAGGGAATCCAGGTCATCCTTACCAAAAGACAAGTTTGCTACAAAGCAAGAGGTTTTGCAATACTTCTTGCATTTGAAGGAGAAGTACCCAAAACAAAAAGAAAGTAGAATTATCCACTGTCCATTGACAAAAAACTTTGAAATCAGCTGCCATAATGAAAAACATATTTGCTGCACTCTTTTAAAGTTAATTACACCTTGGTTGAAGGGTGGATTTCAGATTTTACAATTACAGACAATTAGGTAGGTATCAGACTGTATATGTTTTTTTTATTTATATATTATTACTTATTAGCGGAAAATATTAATATAACTAATGTCTGCTGTTAAATAAGTTAATTAACAGAAATAGGTGTGTTGTAAAATATACCGAACCTATAAATCACATTTTTTAGTATAAAGATAGAGAAGCTGATCCAAACCTGGAAACTGTTAAAAAAAAACAAAGCAAGACAAAATTTATCAGAGATTTAAAAAAGGATGAGGTTTTTAACTCAGATGAAAAGTATCTTTTGGATTGCACCTGAGCTTGATACTCTGGTTGCAATCATTAAAGCTGATAGGAAACGAAAAGATCAAGACAAGACTGAAGATATTGCATTTTTATTAGACCAATTAGGAGATAGAAAAACTAGAATAGGTGGAATCGGTACAAGGTACCTTTACTCTGTAAACAGGAGTTTATCCAAAATTAAAAGGAAATCAAATTTGCATGAAACCATGTCAGAGAGTGAATTCAGCTCAAATGGATCGGAGAAAGATGAAGGTAATGATGATTTTTCATACCCAGATCCAGAGTTAAAGAAAAAAGTCAAAAAAACTAATACTGTTATGCTTCCAAAAGATATTCTCAAGAGAACTGCTGATACTGCTGTTGGGGAAGGAATAAGTCATAGGCAGCATGCTTCCATGATTAATTGTATAATCGCGAAATCGGGTGGAAATGTAGCTGAATTTAAATCTTCAACCTCTACAGCATTACGCGCTGCAGATAAGGTCATTCATGATGAATCAAAGAGGATCAAGGATGATTTAAGAAGTTTAAGAAAAATCAATAAGAACATTTTAGTTCAACTCCATTTTGATGGAAAAGTATGTCATGAATATACTGATGGGAAAAAATTGGAACAAGATCGATTAGCAATATTAATAAACGCTAACAAGGAAACGCACTTGTTGGGAATTCCACCCATTTCTTCTGGAACTGGCAAAAATCAAAAAATGCAATCAGAGATATCTTAAATAGCTTTAACCTTACAGACAATATACAAGCTGTAACATTTGATACTAGCAGAATCAACGCTGGAAAAAAAAATGGAGCTGTATCTTTACTGGTAAATGAAGTCTTTCAACGACCAGTTCTATCTATTGCATGCCGACATCATGTCAATGAGCTACACATAACACATTTCTAGAAAAATTATCAAAGTAGCATTACTTCTGGACCAGATAATCTGCTTTTTAAAACTTTAAATCAGCATGGAATGATCTTGACGCAGACAACCAGGTAGGTTTTTACAAAATTAGCTACTATTCTGTGAAATAATATTTTTTCAAAATAATTTTCTTTTTCCAATTTTGAGTTCTTTGAATATTTTTTTTACGTTTTGAATAAAAAAGGTTTTGAGAAGATTGACTATTCCAGAGGAAACATGGCTTGGTCATCAAAAGCATGAAAGCATAACGTTCTGCAGAAATATTATCGCCAGTGGGTCTCTAAAAAAGGTAGCCAATAACTAGATATCTGAATTTGTAGGTATCTATGTAGTATGTACTTTTATGTTGAAATTTTTTCATAAATTTTTCTTTTTTAATTCTATTATTCTTTATTATACTAAAATATAAATAGGTTTATTTTATTATACCTAAATACTATTTATTTTATTTCATTTTTAGGATGGGGCTACAAGGAAGGACTACATTGAGCTGGCAGAGCTTACACTTATGGTGCTTTCTGAGGACAGGTATAAATTTTGTAGTCCCGGAGCAGTCCACCATGCCCGCTTTATGGCAAAAGGTAAGGAATTGTAGGTTCATGATAAAAAAAGGTTCAAGTTGCAAAAAAAAGGAATTTGTTTTACATTATCAAGTATTAGTCTTTTTAAAAAATTAAAAAAAAAGACTTTTTTTTTATAGGTATCTACTACCTAAAACTCCAACTTATGATGGATGCTATACCTAGTCTGGAAAAATGGCTGAAGCATGAAATTACTGAAATGGCAACTTTTGTCTCTGTTTTCTATACTACCTGGTTTCTCAAAGCTGAACTATCTGCTGCTGCTCCGAATCAGGTAGGTACCAACTTAAAAAGTATGAAATATATATATATATATATATATATATATATATATATATATATATATATATATATATATATATATATATATATATATATATATATATATGTATAGATATATATATATATATATATATATATATATATACATACAGGATATGAGAGCGCTTTGGCAAATGAATAGGTTTAAGGAGTTCAATTTGATTGGGGCAGAATCAGTCATTAAATCTATCAAACGCCACACATGGTTTCTGGACCCTTACCTTATTGTACTAGCTCTAGCTGATGAAAAATGTAAAGAAAGAGGTGATATTGCTCAAAAACTATACAGCTTTGAATTTCATAGTATGGATGAATATCCGTTAGCCCGAATAAGTGCTAACATAGAGGTCCTCAATTCTTTAGACTTCAGTGGACCGAAGCCTCCCAGCTTAGTTCATTTGGTCACAGAAAATTCGTGGCTATTGTTCCTTATGATAGGCCAAAGTAAAAGTGACTGTCAATGGATGAAAACCTCTCCAGAATATTGGACTTGCAACGATTTCTACTTAAAATTTCAGGAGGCAGTTTTTAATCTTTCAGTTGTTAATGATTGCGCGGAAAGAATCGTTAAACTCATAAAAGACAAAATTGATATTGCCCGAAAAGAAGAGAAAAGACAGGATTCACTTTTATTTTTGCATAATTACAAAAGGAAGTATGGAGGAAAAACTAAGAAATCCAAGAAAAACAAAAAAATAAACAATATAAAAATATAACATAACATTTTTAAAAAATAATTATAAATTTTATAGAAATTTAATTATAAAGAAATTTGTAAAACAAAATTGCTAGACGTTTTATTCAATATAATTAGATTTTTTTCGTTTCATGTAATTTAATGAAGTTTCTTGCAATATAATAAAGTTCATATAGACCTTTAATGCTATATATAGATGTTTTATGCAACATAGTTAGGTTTTTTTTTCCAAATGGCTTAACATATACATAAAGATATTGCAATGCGTAATATTCGGTTAAAATCTGCATAACTTTGCGTTTTTGTAGATAAATTTACACAAATTATTTCAATAAAATAAAATTACCATGCATTTTAATTTTTTTATTCTAACTTAGAAAAAACTCTAGAAAAAAAAAAAATTCAATTTTTTTAAGTTTTAGTACTTGCTCAAACGTGCGAAAAATGGGCTTAAAAAAGGGTAAAAAAGCCTAAAATATGACTTTTGAGGCACTTGAGCAACCCCTAAAAGTGGTCAAAATTAAAAAAAAAAAAAAATTCTACTAATAAAATAAGGGTCAACGCAGCAGATAACACTCCATGGTACTTAAAATTTTTTCATGACCTCAAAATGAAGCAGTCTAATATATATATATATATATATATATACATATGTATATATACATATAGCTCCCCTCTATTCATAACTACTCTCACTCGTCGTAGTAAAAAGAACCATTACTCTAAGTTCTTCTCTGACAATGCCAAAAATTTGAAACCTTCATAGAATGGTATTAAGAACCTTTTAAACATTAGTTTGAGAGTTAACTCATCTCTTTTATGCTTATCTTCTACCAACTCCATGATATACGACCCCGTCAGGGTTATACGATAACCCCGTCAAGGTTATACGATAACCCCGTCAGGGTTATACGATAACCCCGTCAGGGTTATACGAGAACCCCGTCAGGGTTATACGATAACCCCGTCAGGGTTATACGTCAGGATTATACGTCAGGATATACGGCCCCATTGAAATTTTGGAATCTTTTAATTCATTCTTTGTTTCAGTTCCGGAAGATTTACAGAATAAGATCCACTCACCCAATACTGACTTTAATAAATATCCTAAAAAAACCTAATCTTAATTCAATGTTCATAAAACCTACAGACAAAAACAAAGTATTATCGATTATTCATTCTCTTAATGACCGCAAGACTTATAATATATATATATATATATATATATATATATATATATATATATATATATATATATATACATATATATATATATATATATATATATATATATATATATATTATATAAATATATATAATATATATATATATATATATATATATATATATATATATATATATATATATTTATATAAATATATATATATATATATATATATATATATATATATATATATATATATATAT